ACGTCTGGGCGTGACTGCGCAAGGCACTGTACGCCGACGCCTACTCGACGCAACCTTCGATTTTATTCTCGTCCGTGGACCAGGCTTCGATCAATTCTCGGCTCGTCTTGATTCCTCCCTGGGCGAGTACCTTGATGGCCGCAAAGTTGAACTCACGGCCTGTTTCATAGGTATGCGCTGCAGCTTGTGATAATTCGTCACATAGTCGTACCGCACGTTTATTTTAATGTATGCGCGATCCGTGCATGACCTCATTTTGCCCTGTATAGTTACAAGGACAGCTTGAGCAAGGGATGCGATGCAGTACTCCAGATTGTTCATTGGGGTTCAAAGGGTCTTTTATTTTCATTACCCTGCAGCGCATCTTAGCAATTCCAATACCTAGTCCTGCAGCAATGCTCTCGGTCGCTTCTGAGACGTCCTTGATGTATGGGAGAGCTTGTCATATCCTCGATGGTTCTTCTGTTTGGGTCCTCCGGGGTCGAACGCGTAGGCATCGGTTTATAAATGCTTTCGGATAACCATTCCGCACGAATTGGTCTCGGAGATATCGGGCCTCGCGTACCTTTTCTAGCGGCCTACTGCAGTAAGTCTGAATACGTTTGAAGAGAGTTTTTACACAGCTTCGTTTGTGGGCAACCGGATGGTTGCTGTGAAAGCTAAGAAGTTGTGTTTTCTTCGTTGCCTTTCTCTAAACTGTCGTCTCAATATCGCCGTTGGGCGTTCTCTTGACAAAGACATCAAGGAAAGGCAGCTGTTTCTCTTGTTCTTCCTCCCTCGTGAATTGTTTGTCAGGGAAGATTCTATTGAGCAAGTTATAGAAGTTTTGCAGCATGTTCTTCATGGTGATAACGTGTCGTCCACGTACCGATGCCAAAAGACAGGCTTGCATAATCTTTTCGAACGAATATTTTTTGGAAACAGTTCTTGCCAATAGCTTCTCTTGCATTGCATACACAAGAAAGTTTCAACTGTATCGTCCTAGATGATATCGGTTTCGTAACCCACCTTCAGGAAGAAGAGAACTCACAAAGGATCTGACCTGACTGCTCAATGGAATACAAGTTTTTCATTTTTTTTACTAGAACTCCAGTCTATTTTTTGCCGCCAGTTGCATATTTATGACCCATTAGTAATCGAGGATGTAAGAGAGACTCGAGTTACCATATCCGGTTCAACTGCCATCGTCAGTCAGCCATCATTGAACCGATACCTATTGAACCCGAGGCTTGAAGCCAGATTCCGTTCCTCGTGGTGCACTCTTTGAGTTTTAGACCGGTACCCATGAATATTACTGATTGCTGTTGATAGATCGGAAGTTCGCAGTTCAATTGTTTGACCCCTAGCCCAGTGACAAACCGGATCCCAGTTTAATGCCCACGTTGTTGTGATGCGGCCAACCCATCTTAAATTTCCTTGTCTTTGATGCGAGTACTTTTGGAAAAGTAGACAGTTTTCTTTGCCCATTTATTAGCAAGAATTAATATATTAGCGTGATCTGTTGAAATGCATTTTATTCGTAAATTTATACTCAGACAAATTCTAAAATTTGCGGGTTCTGTCCTCTTTAGTAAAGTTTTTTAAAACTCCGAACCGGCCTCTCAAGACTCAGTAGGCATGAGCTATAGTTAAATTTTTTAGATTATTTCCTTCATGCCGCACCTCGCATAATATTTGATGTACTGAGGCTACCTATTATGCCACTTTTTAATCCAATATACGGGTTAAACCTTAGGGTGACATTTTTATGCCCTTATTTCGTCGTTAGAACCAGAGAATCCAGCGCTTTTGCTTGATTCCGAGGACTGCCTAGACGAGGTGCCACGTCTCTCTGCAGAAGAGGTGCTCGCTTGGCGTCGTGCCTGCAATCTACCCACCTGGCGTCAAGAGCAAAGTTTTCGATGGTTCACCTTCCGTCTTCGTCGTCTAGGGAGCGCTCTTGTTTCTCTCACTGTCCTGGACTGTCAGTAAGTGCGTGACCCATCTCCATTTTCATCATTTTCCTCCTTTATTCTCCTCATACTCCAATGTATCACGTCACTAGGCGGCCAGACCGAGTTTTCGCGCGCGTTGGTGCTCTCTCTACATGGCCTATACTGCGGGAAGGGCCACAGTGTAAGTCCAAGAGTATTTCCGACCGGTTCGATGCCTCGACGTCACTAAACCTTTTGCCTACTAAAACGGTAACGGTAGGTGAAGCGGTC